CCCCCCCCAGTTTAGTGGCAATATTTAGCTTGTCCAAGCAGGCAGCCTGGCCTCACTTACCCCCACCCCAAAGCTCGTCTCCCTAGGATCTCAGCTGAACCTTGAGGTGGGGCTGAGAGCAAGACTGTTTTTCCACTGGAGGACATGAGTCAGTGAACAGTGAGGTTCCACTTAATCACCCAAAACAAGGTCCTTAAACCAGGGGCTAGAGAAGCAAGGAAATGATTAATGTAAAAGTCAGGATAGTGATTATTCCGAGGGTGGGTCAGGTCAGGTCAGGTCGGGTGGGGTTGGAGGTGGGAGTGGGGGGCCCTACGGGGAAGGGGTAGGTAGAAGTCTCCTGAGGTCTGACAATGCTCTCTATTCCTTGACCTGGTGATGGTTGCTTTATAATTATACTCACACACACTTTATGTACTTTTCTAAGTGTTCAGAATTTTAAACAGCTAGGGGGGGAAAACCACACCCATCTATAAAAGGTTTCTAAGCAGGGAAAAAATGACCAGATTTGTATTATTAAAAGATCGCTTGGGTGTTGAATGGAAAATAGATTGACGCTGGGGCAAGGCTAGAGGCAGAGAAAACAGGAGGTGAAGTGACTGTCTGATCTGGTGAGAGGTTATAGTGGCTGAGCTAAGAAAAGGTGAAATAGGAGGGATAGAGTTTACATTATTTTAAAAAAAACACAACTGTAGTAAAACAGAGGCTGGCACTGCCCCCTCGGCTCACTTTTTACCTCGATGAGTTGGGTGAATCTGGCTCGGGAATTAGAGCCCAGGGGCAGGTTCCTGTCTAAGCACGGCTCTCCCCCGACCTCCCTCTCTGCTAACTACTCGGGGGATGCACGCAGACAGCCTGGCCAGTGGCACTTCGAGCACCTTTTCANGAGGCCACGGCTCTCCCCCGACCTCCCTCTCTGCTAACTACTCGGGGGGATGCACGCAGACAGCCTGGCCAGTGGCACTTCGAGCACCTTTTCATATAATACCACCATGTTATCCAAGCAGAGCTGACACAGGGGTTTCTAGTATAATATGTAATAAACTCAAGCATAATACCTGATCACTAGAGACTTTACGGAGTATTTTCCCATCTACTATCTGGTACCAGAACGTTAGCGCCATGAGGGCAAAGATTTTTGCTTTGTTTCCTATTGTATCCCCGGTGCCTAAAACTGAACTTGAAACATAGTAGGTGCTCAAGAAATATTACTGAATGGCCACGTTTCATTATGATTGATATCTAATCATCACAACAGTCCCGTGAGGATGGGCAGGACGTGAATTCTCCCCACCTGAGAAGTTAGAAAACGGAGACTTGGGGAGATGAGGGAACATGTCAGATAGTTGGTCATTTGGTTGGTGACAGAATCATGATCCCGTGTCAGGTTTTATACCTCAATCCCCTAATTTTTCCCACTTCTTCACAGCTGGAGAGCTAAGGTTTGAAGTTCCGACAGCTGCGGAACACCAGCTGGGAGTCTGCCAAAGTCCGTGCTAGGTGCCGGCACACCTCCCATGTCACCTGCTGCGCTGGGGTACGGGACCAGCGAGGCCTACCCTGCTCACTGCACCAACCACAGCTCCCCCAGAGGAGACGGGGGTTCTCCTGGGGAACCTCGCCCCGCTGGCCCCAGCCACCTTGCATTTCTGCTTCTCCCCGCATCCCTCACGTCTCTCTACTCCCCATCCCAGCCCCCCCC